GGAGAGGCCATTTATCTTGTATAAATACCTACGCGTATATAAATACATGTATACATACATGCGTGCGGTTTTCCTATGATTTAATTCAATCAAAATGCAAAAAGCCAAAAATCTATAAAGAATTGAACTCGTCCAAGGAGAAAATCTTTTGCCTTTTGTACGTCATATTTTGAGGGCTTCGTTTTCTCAGTGTCATTTATCCGGCAAAATAGGCAATTTGCCATAATGCATTGAAAATCCTGAGGCAAAAATCCAGTACGAATGATAAAAGAGTTTAACGACAAAAAATATTGAGAATTAGGTTTTTTTGCACTTCAAATTKTGGGGACTTTTAGTTTTGGGCATTGATTAATTAACGATTCTTAGCATTATAAGTAGAGCTATTTATTCAAATTCTTATGCGTGCAGTTTTTTTAATCTAATGTGAAGCAGAATGCCAAAAYAACCAATGTAAATCTTTCGTATAAACATTTTTTTTCTTGGCAAATTCGTTTGTTTCTGAACTATTAGTTTTCACGATAGACAAAACTCTTCTATAATTTTATCCATCCGTAGCGTCTCTAATTTAATTGCAGATTGYGTGTCATAAGACACGACAATCAACGGAAATGCAAACAAGACAACCAAGATTCGTTTTCCATAGGACATAWAAATAATTATATAAATGTATTTTTTTGGAGGCATATAGGCCAGATGGTTTTCATGGATAGGGGCTGCTGTGTAATATCGCGAGGCKAGTCGTCCAAAGACTAAAATTAAAACCACATAAGATTCAAAAGCAAATTAAYTGCCAATATACCTGTGAATTTCATTAGTGTATACAGTATACTAATACTTAATATTTCAAGTCAACGTTTTGAGAAAAAAGGTRTAAATATCTTGTCTCGAATTTGATTCAAAACCAAAAAGCCATAAGAATTAATTAAGCCCACACTCGTATGACATGCCATTTTAGTGGCTTTAAAAAGAGTGGCCCTTCACGATGAAAAAACATGTCAATCATCACGAAATGTACATGTAAGGGCATCTTTCATCCTTACTTTCTATATGTACTTGAATTAATTACCAAGMTTTTTTAGTTTTCGACTCTGAAATAGTAAGACCACCTTTTGAAAAATTCAAAAATGTTCCCCTGCACCGGAGTACTGATTATCATTACTGATATCAATCCATGCGATCGATGAAACGAAGAAGTTTTTTTGTTTATGTATTGACTTTGAGACGACTGGAGTTTATTTTATCGAACCATAAATAAAAATTATCCGTTTTTTTTCTTCTTCTTACAAATGTTTTTGTTTTTTTTCATGAACCTCTAATGAGCACGTGACTCTTGAAAATGATGATAGATAGCACCGGAGCGTCAAAAAAAGCTTCTTCATAAATTGCATTGTAAAATCCTTWWRRAAACAATGTAGTTTWAAAATATTTKKTCATGMAAATATTAGAAAATGCAAACACATWCAACATCACGTTCGTAAGATTGATTCACGAGTTTAATTTGATATTTGATTTCAAGCTTTTCTATTTTCATCAATATWAGCAACAGCAATGAGAGTAAATTGCTTTGCGTTCAATATAGTTAATTATGTCTAATCAACAAAGCCTATGAGTAAGGAATGATTTTATCGAAATGACTGGTCTGTTATATGAGGCTTTATGTGGGAACGTTATGTAGTGTTTATGTTGGTCTTTTCGAAATAATGTTCAGGGGGGAAAAACAGGGACGTTCTTTCAAGTTTTCATTATGATCGTCAGATGTCTAAGGCGATCGAGAGTTTTTGAAGTGGGCGTTAGACTGCGTTCATAATGTATGGAAGCGGGGGGGCGGGGGGAGGGGGGAGGTGAAATTTAGGGGAGATCGGAAACATTTTTACCAGTAAAATGGGGGGGTTGAAATTTTTTTTCAGAGAATTGGGGGGGATGCAAAATGTTTAGAAGAACCTGGGGGGATAGTTATTTTTGGGGGGACTTCAAGGAGGGGG